ATGAACGCGTCCTTTTCACTTAGGTATTAACAGATAAAATTTGTCAGACACCAAACTGCAATGTTCCGTTGCTTCGTACCAAGGACAGAGTCACCTGGTTTTGCGTGGATTGTGAAGAAAGACCCGGAGAACCGAAAGTTAATGTGAAACAACAAACAACAAACGATTTGGAACTGAGCTATGATGTTCAAGACATTTTGCTAAAAGCAGAAGAGGTCAATAGACAAGGAAAGGATTCGTTGAACTCGCAATTCTCATCAATCGTTTCGACTCCCATTTCAGAAGAAACGATCAGTGATGAACAACGGTTACGAAGGGAACAATCACAGCGTGCTTCACAATCTATTGGACGGTATTTGTTATCGGGATGGGCTTTAATTGATGAGATATGTCCTAATGGGTCGTGTTTTGCGGTAGGCAGATAATTGGAATAATACTATATAAACGCGTAAAGCATATTAAATTCCCGGATACTCTAGGTACCATTGGTTCGCGATCGAAACAAGAGGAAATATTGCGTAAATTGTCAGAATTACTATGTGAGAGAAACGGATTTGGATCTCGCAAAACACAAGATCGTTCAGAGTGATGTTTCGCAATTAGAGTCGTTGCCGGCGGTGAACAAGCCAGCTACAAAACATGAACTCAAGCATGGAATTGATGTTAAAGAGGTTGAGGTATGTGTTACTTTCTTCGAGGTATTAGGTAGATAGTGATTGTGGAATGGAAATTAGAGACAACAACCGGAAAGTCATTTTTTTCCTTTCACCCTTAGTTTACGGAAAACAAACGAGCGCGGTATTCGAGCCAAATAACTATTTAACCAATCATTTGCAATTCCACACACTCTCTCTTAAATTTATGATATGCCTCTTTTTCAGCCTACATTGAAGTTTGAAAATGCGAGGGATGCTCATGTAAGAAATCAACCGTTATCAAGTGAAGCCAGATTGAAAGGTACCAGATTGGATGATACGTTGCAAGAATCAATTTCTTCGTTGTCATCAACGCTTGGAATGTTGAATAATTGTTTAGAGGCTACAAGCATGATTTCAGATGTTAAAGAGATCTGTGATGCGATAAAGAGCTGTGCCCAAGCATTGGAAGTTCTGGTATCGTTAAAACAAAATAAATTGGGAATCTAAGATAGTTAATAGATTTGGTTCAGGAGATTAGAAATTTGAATGACAGTTTTCCGTTAGCGAGAATTCTGTTTTTTTTATTGACTTTGTGTCCATGCGTTGTGTAGCATTCACTTCAATTGGTCCGACTATTCACATTAAATTATACGGGTCTCATGCTTGAGGTCGCCTTATTTTTTATCGAATCAGTTAACGTGGCCATGCCAAGGGTCCATTCGCTGAGCGCGTCTAAAACGTCAATTTATTCAAAGAAAAGCGTTGCCAGAGAAAGACATTTCCCTTACGTAAAAATGACGTGTGATGAGAAGATAATCATTTATAATGACTGTAGCGTGAGGGATTGATGCAAGATTTTATTTAGAAATAAAGCTGCAGGTTTGATTAAATGTGCTCTTACAATAAAGAGAAGACAGTTTACATATGTATAATAAATGAAATGGAATCAAGAGACCACTCGAGAATATAATGTCTGTCAAAGTCACCAGTCAATTGAAGTCATAATTACATTAAGAGCGAATGAGATGCGAACCCGATTAGTCCAGTCCACTTTCTAAATTCTTTTTTTACAGAGCTTTCTTCTTCCCTCCAAGTGCATTCTTTTTCCTGGCTTCCCTTTCCCGCCTACGATCGGCAATAAAGAAGTTTACAAACAATCCCAGCATGGTCCACATGTAAACCCACAACAATATTGTCAAATTGAAAGGATATACTTCTTTCAATGTGGGGTATAAGAACTTAAAATAGAAAATATCATAAGTAGCCTGAACCATATTTAGAACAAATTGAGTCATTTGCATGAGAGTTATATAACGTTTAATGAATCGGATGGGGAACGAGAGGGTGGTGCTTAAATAATAGCCGTACATTATCACGTGGACAACTGTGATTGAGCAAAGAAAAAAGAAGTGAACAATAATCCTTTTGTTAATACTAGAAATTATTATTTTTTCTTTCATTTGAAGTAGATTCATACCTGAATTCAAAGCGGCGCTAAAATATGTTTCTCCGGTAGGAGCCACGTAAATCACCCACCACCAGATTATAAAGACAGAACAATGATGATAAATATGTAGGAATGTAATCTGGTGATTATTTTTCTTCAATACCATGATGAAAGTATCCATGAATTCGAAAATCTTTGAAAAGTAGAAAATCCAAGTGTATTTTGCCATCTGATTCAATGGATAAATGCGCGATGATGAGTATAATAATCAGACAGTTGGCTTTAATAAACGGTTGTACCTGAAATCCTTTCTCCGACCTGTCTTCAGGATTAGCGAATAACGTGTACCCATTCTTCCA